TATATATATATATATATATATATATATATATATGTGTGATTCCCACACCTTGACCATCTTCATTTATGTACGTTTCATCTTGTCACATTATTTTTGGTTTTGGACAGGTATTTGTTCAAACTCCTGTCTAATGACCACTCTTAGCTTCCACATAACATTTTACAAGTTATTGTTCCTTACAAAGTATGTCTAATGATCACTCTTAGCTTACACATAACATTTTACAAGTTATTGTTCCTTACAAAGTATGTCTAATGATCACTCTTAGCTTCCACATAACATTTTACAAGTTATTGTTCCTTACAGAGTATGTCTAATGATCACTCTTAGCTTCCTACATAACATTTTACAAGTTATTGTTCTTTACAAAGTATGTCTAATGATCACTCTTAGCTTCCACATAACATTTTACAAGTTATTGTTCCTTACAAAGTATGTCTAATGATCACTCTTAGCTTCCACATAACATTTTACAAGTTATTGTTCCTTACAAAGTATGTCTAATGATCACTCTTAGCTTCCACATAACATTTTACAAGTTATTGTTCCTTACAAAGTAACTTTTTTTTGCAAATTATAGACGATTTCTTTATCCTAATTGGTGTTGTTTTTTTTTCTATGTTTTTGTCCCTTTTATCTGGGTTGTGATTGGGATGAATTGTTGTGACATTTCAGTCCAGTTTTTAAAGTGTATGTACTGAATCATGTTTGATGCTTCTCTTTTATTCTTTTTTCATTTCTTCACTAAATGAAGATGGTTTATAATGAGTTTTCCAAAGTGTTATCTCTTTAAATCAACTGGAATAATCTTTATCCCATTGACCCTCCAGAGTGGATGTTTATTTCCATTACTTCTATCTCGGAGTCTATCCAGCCAGTGCCCCAGTATAAGGTCAACTGGTAAGTTGTCACAGAGCAAGAAACACTTTTCGTAATGTGTTTCTTCATTCTCCTATTTTTGAGATAAATCAATTCTTGTGTTTAGCTCCAGTCACCTTTTTCTGAGTGATGTACATTGTAGACACCTTCTTCCCATATGTTACTTCCTTCTTAAGATACCTAGGACAACGAGCTGGATAGAAAAAGAACCTACTATAAATGTTAGTACCTAAGTGAGTTAGTTCAGTGGACAGTCAGTTTTTATAAATATGTTACCTTGTAACTTAACAAAATTACAAGGGACTGTTTGGTTTCTCAAGACAGTCCTTGCACACCCATCCTTGTTAACTCTCCAGATTTAAATCCCATCAAAAATGTGGGAGCTTTCATTCAACAGTGCACAGAAGAAATGTTGGAAACTTTGCCTGAATGCGAGAAACACAAATGAGAAATCTTGATCCGTGATCTCACTGATATGCTCACAGAAACAGCCACAAAAAGAGACATGTTTGTTGGATTGCTGAAATTTTTTCAAATCAATTAAAACTCGTGTGTGAGAACAATGGTGGTCCAATCAAGTGATATTGATACTTGGAGTTACTTTTTTGATTAAATTAAAATCTTATTTTAATTTGATTTTAATTTGTTATGCTCTCAGGGAAAAAAGTGTGATTTATTTTGCAACACCCCTTATTACTTCTACTTGCTGTTCCACCTCCCACAGGGCAGGCTGTCAAGACTTATAAGTAACTCTTCCTTGGAACCAATTCTTAACTCAGGAACCTTTAGTGTCTGCCTCTCCCCCCTTACATACCTATAGTCTCACTTGATTGGTGACCCTGGAGTTGTGCAAGTTTTTCTCAAGATCTGTCCCTGCTTTTCGTTTTCCTCATCCTCCCACTTATCCTCTTCCCTCCACTCCTCTGCCTCTTTGACATTTTCCTGGGAACTTCTTGATTCTTGTTTGGGGGAGCTCAAATATTTCCCTTGCATCTTCACTTTATGGAGATCTTGATATTGAAAGTTCTTTATTATTCTTCTTGTGCAAGAGGCTCTCTCACTTCTGTGGATTTCGGCTTCTTCTTTTTACTGTGTATCTCCTTCAAAGGGTTTTGAGGGATCTGTGGAACATGTCCTGCAATCCATTACTTGTTCTTGTACTTCTTCATTCGTCTGTACTTGCCTCTCTGTCATGGTGACTTGATTGCTACAACATGATTCAAGGTATTCTAGTCTAACCCCCTCTCAATCTAACTTGCGTCTTTGCATCAATATCTTTCTTTCCAGTTGGGGAAGGGGTTCTTGACACCTTCACTCTCCCTATGGTGTAGTCTCCAAAGGAGTGATATCTGCTTATCAACATTCTGGAGATGTCTGCAGCTTTTCAGGCTTGCTAAAATCTTTGGCTATGATTGTCAAATTTTCTCATGATGATCTTTTCCAACATTTCTATGGTTGATTCTTATATCAGCCCCCCAGGTCAATACTCACTTTTGGGACCTATGCTTTACCAGAGTTTTTGACATAGGCCCACCTGTTTCAATGATTGCTTGCATTTTCCACACCTTTAGCCTTTTACCTGTCACTATCCTATTCTTTCAATTAATTTCTCAATCTATTCTTGTGGTCATCATCATTTTGAACTTCATGCTTTCACCATCTCCTGTCCTCTGTATCATAAGGATCAGTTGATTTGTACTCTGACAGTACCAGGTATAGTCCTGTCCTTACATCTGGCTGACACTTGCTGTCTTTAGTCATAACCATTTAGTAACCCATTGCACTGTCTTTCACTGGGGACTAAATTGCATATGCACAATCTCTGGTATTCTCCCTTATGTATAATATCCCCACTTCTTTTAATGGGACACTGGAGAATGTTACTTCCCTAGTCTCAAGCTGCTGGGGAAGTTCGTATGGAGAGTTTCTTCTGTGAGTGGTTCCCTTTCCTAGATAAGAGACTGGTTTGTCATACCTTTTGTTTAAAATATAGAGCTTGTGTGTTACCTAAAATTGTTACATCAATATAATTAAAGATAAACCAATGGAAAAAGAGTATTTCCTGCTTGAGATGGATGCACTCTCCCACCAGGTGTTGCTCCACTAGATGATCCTCATTCTCTTTGAAGTTGCATCCTGTAGGCTTTCTGTTTCTGTCTTTTTCAGAAAGGAGCTCATTTTTGTAATTGATCAGCACCAGACTCTCCATTATATTCAGTGTAGGATTTTAGCTCTTTGTGGTGCAGAGAAGTAAGTAATGATTCTTGAATTAAAATTTTTATTACCTGAAAGTGTATTTCGGATAGATACTTACTTCTTTGCACCACTTCTAACCCTTCCTCCCTACTTCTAGTACACTTTATTTGACTCATCAAGAATGAGCCTATGTGCTAGTGCTTACAGGAATTACTGCATGTTGAGGTCATGTAGTTCTCCTATCAGTGGAGAAGTACAGCATTATGACAATTACATCAAAGGCTGGCTCCAATACATGTAGATAAAGGTGGAAGTTTATTCAAGGTTTATGGCATGTGCAGGAAGTTCTATGGCAGTTACGTGTGAGGTAATAGCACTTAATCATGCTGAGAGGTAAGTGTTTGAAATACATCTTCAGATTAGGAAATTATTAATGATATACAATTTGTGATAGATCAGAAAGTTTTATTATTGTGAACTGTGTATAATAATGTCTTGCTTTGTAGAAGAATAAAAGTTAATCCTGCCAATTTGCCATCTCACTTTTTTTTCACAGACATTATTTTGCTTCTCAGTTCTTTAGTTTTTATCTCAGTTGATGTAGTCTATACTTATAATTTACCATTTTGTTGTTATAAAGGTCAGTGAAGCTTATGTTAATAATACCACTGTAGCAAAGTATAGGCCTAGAAAAACCCAGTTGCATGTTGGAGCCATCTAATGGAATTGTTCTCAACCTTTGGAGACTAATAAACTAATTTTGCTAAAAGTATAAAACATAGTGAACTGCTATGCAAAATATTGTTCTTATATTGCAAAAGTACTGGTTACAGTAAATTAAGGAAATATGTCAGATCTAATGATTTTAGCTGTAAGGTCCAGTTTCCTGATATGTAAGATCAAGAAAGAGTTTTGATGTAAAAGAAGAATCAATATTTAACATTATAATTAAGTTATGTATGATCAGAAGTTTTTTAATACTAAACATGCTGCTGGATCTTCTAGCCAGCATGTTATTCAAGCTGTTTCAACCACATAAAGTGTTTTCAGAGGATACCAAACCCCCAATGTTTAAATTTTGCTGCTGTCCATCAGTTTGTAATTATGTAAATGAATGAATTGACCATGAGGTATTTGTGTAGTTTTTTTAGCAGTGTGACTTCAGTGTCATTCTGAAAGTGTAGAATCAGGAAAACCCCATATATTTTAAGCATGTGCCTCCTTGAAAATAGTACACTGTGGGCTTGGTTAGCATGTTTGCCATTTTAATCTGTCAAACGCAGATTTCCACAGGTAGGCCTATATTTTACGTAATGAATGTTTCTGACACTTATTTTTAAGAAATAAACATGATTATATTCATTTCACTTTTGACCAATTTGCGGTGAAAATTTATTTATCATTTATTTATTTAACAAACCACACCTCCGTGGCAAGCAAATGAGCCATCAACACACTGATTTTGTTCAGGTGTTAGATTATTTTTACATTTCTTTGAGTTGTGTATGGCTCATTATTTTACGTCTATGTATAAAATAAAGTAAAATAAAGGATAAGAGCATTTGTAGCATGATGTACATTACTGAAGAATAATAAAACACAGAATTATTGTACTAATATAACCAAAGAGAACCTCTGAACTACTGCTTACAATGTGCTAGTGATGCAGCCACTCATGATGATTTGGGTTAAGCACAGTTAGCTTAATTGTGTCTAATATGCCACATTCATGGAGATTACTTAAGATTTTATTTTGTAAACTTAAAAAATAGGTGTTGCAGAATTGTAAGAATAACTTGTTTAATATTGAAGAAACTAGAAAGAAAAGCAGTCCTATTAAATCAACTAAATATAATTGACCACCTTTAGTGATATGAAAAATTGTTTCAAGGGTGACCCTCAAAATTTCCACTGTGCCCCCTTAATTTTTATACAAAGAGTGAGTTTACATGTGTAGTGAATTTTTTATTTATGTATGATAAAATGTTTTTATCTATCATGAAATAGTGACTACTCTATTGTTTGTTCAAAGTGTCTGTACTTGAAATCAATTTGTTTTCAGAATGTAGATTTCAGATTTCATAAATAATTTTTTAAAACCTCCCTTAGCTAGAAAATCTGGTTTATTATTATTGCCTGGAAACATGTAGCATAGAGAAATTTAGTTTGTTTATTCCGACCATCAGATTATGGTGTATCTTCAGATGTTTAATAGAAGTAATAGAACAGATAAAACAGTTAATGGAATGATTTCCAAACTAGGGTCTTTTGAGGTGGTTTCAGAAGAACCTTAATATATGTAGAGTATTTCTGTAAAACATCACCAATATGAAAAATAGCAGTATTTTTGGAGAAAATTTAATTTGCTGCAACAAATATGACCATGCATCCTTGTTTATCCTTGATATTTTGTTTTAAAACAACAAATTACAATAAAGTAAGGTACCTCAGAGTGGCTATTATTTAACATTTCTATTAGTACATTAGATTGGATTCCTCAGCCATAGTGTCTAAAGTCTTGGAGTAGGGGTGTTTAGCTAAAAATTGGAAACTTCTCAATTCATAGCACAAAAATAATAGTGTTTTTTTTCCTATAGTGCAAATTTAACACCATCTCTGGTATCTGTTTCTTCAGTAACTGTATAAATATGTTTATCATAAGTAATTTGTCTGGTCTAAACTTTTTTCTGAACATATTATTTGAGTTAAATTACTTTTCCAAGTGGGTTATTTAATTTAAATAGATATTTTTTTATTGTTGCTGAATGAACAATTAAATTGGATACAAAAATGATTTCTAGAGAAAGGGGAACAAAATACACAAACAGATTGAGTTTGTTGTGCACGTGCTTCTATTACAGTGCTTAATATATGCAAGAATAATTTATAAATTTTTTATCCAGTGGACATAAAATTGATTGTACCATATTAACTATTTAAATCTATATGGTGCAATCTGTTTATGCTTGGCAGTTTGTCTTCTGTAACCTTTTCAAATAATATATTTTCTTTGTAGTAAAATAATTTAACCTACATCTTGTTCTATTTTTGTCTTAATTGATTCTGTGGTTTTTATTTGATTAGAATCTGTATTATGTTTTACATCTTAATAGGAAAAAGAAACTGTTATCCAGAGCTGAGCTGGAAGTCCCATGGAGGCCTCTTTATAATTTATATAAAAATGCCTTGGACTCGTCCTATGAACACTTAGGGATGTTATTGTTGCCTCGGTAAGTAATTTTGACAACATTCATATAAAAATGATATATATTTCCTTGTCAAAGTTAATGGAATCATGTAAACTAAGAAAGATTTTTGAATAAAATTAGTTCATTTGCCTTAGAACAAATTTGTTGATAATTTCAGGTTGTTTAAGAATCATATCTTTATTTTCAGAAACTTGGAAGATACCTTGAAGACAATGATACGCTCTTGCAGAGTGTAAGTTTGTACATTGAATAACTAATTAAGGAAACTTTCAGAAAAGTATCAAAGATTATATGACATTGGAAGGTTTTATAATTCAGTCTACCAAATTGTTTGATAGCTTAAAAAGATTGGAAGCAAGATTATGTAACAAAAAGATAATTAAGGAATTAGATTAAGTTACAGAATGTCATATTTTTGTCTTTAATTTTTAAATCTACATGTTTTTCTATCATCATGAACTTTAAGTTGAAATAGTTTTTGGTCGACTGAGCAACTTTCTATGGTACCGTTGTTTGAAGTGTTACTGTAATACAAGAGCACAAAGTTTTGAACACCTAATAATAAAACACTTAAATGAAGTTTAATGCATCAAAGGTAAGTTTAGTATTTTAAAAAGAAGGATAAAATTATGTGCCATTGTTATAATAAAAATATAAGTCTTTCAACTGTATATGTTGTAGAATTTCTGTGTCATATAAGAATAATTTGGTACTTTTTTTGTGAATTTATTTATAAAACTTGGAATTGACATTTTATTAAGTACACTGGAATCTCTTCTAGCACTTTTCAACAGAATTGGATCTAACTTGATAAGAATAGTATTTGGGTATTGGACATAGTAAAAGAATGCAATGTGAATAAATATTAAATATATTTCATTTTCAGTCCAATTGGTAAAACCTTGTCACCAAATGGATAGATATGAATATACACTAGTAAATTTAAACCCTTTTCAGTTTAATGGGCATGGGTAGTCAGCCCCTCATAGTGTGACTAAATTTTGAATAACTAATACCTAGATAGTGTGATTTGTATAAGTGAACAGAAACGAGGATCTATTCTTTTGATACCTTGCATGTATTAATAATATCAGGTGGTCAGTCTGAGTATGAGAGATAATTATCTTTACCGTTAAGTACAAAACAATCATAAGTGAGCTTTCAGGGGAATTATATGTGCACTGTGTTTAGAGAAACTTATGAACTAATATGTTAATGTATTTTAGGAATTTATATACATACATATACACAGACACTTATATATAATGTTAAAAAAATGAAATGTATTCTTTAATTCTAAAAGCAGAAAATAGAATAAATTGTAAATATTTCATGCTACAAGGATTTGATTTTACTTTTATAGATTGCAAATGTAAGCTAATCATGTAAGCAGTAGTAACAATCAACTTGTAAAAACATGCAATATAGTAGAGAATAGCAAAAGAAATTTCAGAGCAAAATACTTGACTTGTGTTTTGAACTAACTTCTTCCATCAAGAACCTTTAATAATGTCAAACCATCTATTATAATTTTTTTAGTAGTAGTGGTAGAAATTACAGAAGTAACAAAAATGTAACTTATTAATGGGAAACTACATGTATCTGGTCTAATTCTTTTCATTGTTGCATAAAAATATTATTGACATCTATCACTGGGAAACAAGTGGCAAACAGTTAGAGTGTCACTTATAATGAATATTATGGAATAAATAGTTGCAACAAAATATTGGAAAATAATTGCAAATTATGTAATATGCAACTTGTTTCAAACAGCTTTAGTCAGAATATGAACATAAAACAGACACATTCTTCTCAGAGACAAAAGAATGGTTTGGGTTAAGTATGAATTATCAAACTTCATATTTGTGTCTGTCCCAGTCAACACACAGATAGTCATTTACAAATATAGCCACTAAATTCAAGGAAATTTTTAACTGTTTGGAATGTTTAACTAGTTTATAAATAATTTTCCACCATGTTGAAATGTCTCCAATAAGAGAATAAGAATAATATAAAACTGACGTTTGGTCTGTACAAAGTAACTTGTCTTGGCTGTGTTTT